AACATATGCTCACATCCGCATATCACCAGCAATCCAATGGCTAGGTAGAACGCATGGTGAGAACGTTCAAAACACATATGAAAAGAAATATAAAAATTAACTTAGATACTGCACTTGACAAATTTTTATTCAATTATAGAAACGCGCGAAATGATATTACAGGAGTTACACCTTCCAAGAGAATGTTAAATCGCGACATTTGGATTAAATGGGACTTATTAAAACCGTTGGAAGGAAAAGAGAATAAAATCAACATAACACTACCACGCAATAGAACCTTAAATGTAAGAGATTTTGTTTGGTAAAAAGTACAAGGTGATGAGGATGACAAATGGTGGAAAGGCATAATCACATACAAAGAAAGTGACTTGATGTTCCAAATTAAGACAGATAAAGGTATTTTGAGGAGACTATTAGATCAATTAAGAATAAGAAATTGTTTTAACACACTTATTAGTCATTTAATTCTCAGGATTCTTTTAAGGAGGGAAGTATGGACAAAAATATAAAAACTACTAATAAAAATAACGTAACACCGATTTCTAGACCTATGCGAATTACAAAAACCTGTTTATTTAAAAGACTACATAACTTAAAATATAAAAATAAATTAAATATTAGAACGCATAAAGTATATTAAATACTAAAACGCTTACACTAAAACGCAAAAATAAAAACGCTAAAAATATTATATAACAATCTTATCAATTTATCATTCTTCACTTATTCTTATATCCAACTTGATGAATTATTATTTCTAATTATTCGTAACTTAATGATGATAATAACAATTTTGAAAAATGATAATAACAACGAGCAAGCTACATGACAAAATCATGATTTATGAAGATAACTTACGATAATGATATCAATCTTACGATTTAAACAAACCAACGTGCAAACTCGATTTAAACAAACCAACGATTGGGACAAGCCAACGATTACGATGACTTATGAAACAACTTGATAACTAAAACGATAAACCATTTGGACAACAAACTTTCTATGACGGCTTAGAAGATTTTATGGGAAGGCTTCTTTTAGAAGGAGAATGTTGAATAATGATTATTCTTAATTTTATTTTGTAAAAAAATACTTATTTAACTAGTAATTTTTATTTCATTTTGCCATAATTTTTAATAGTAATATGAATTGTATTTGGATTTAAAAAATACAATTTGACCTTTTATAATTTACTTTTTTTATTACTTTTTGTTTTTGTATTCAAATCTTAATGTATAAAATATATATATAAGCCAATTATATGAAAATAAAGAGATTGAAAAATAATATTTTTGCATTTCTTCATTCTCTTATAGGTTTATTTTTTGTTTATGCAGGGCTTTATTAAAAATTAGATGACATAATAATAATAATACTAGTCAGTAAATTATTGATTCTGGTGAACCTTAGACATTTTAATGTTCTATACTAGTATGTATAGATGGAAAATGGCTAAAAATGCACTAATTGAGCTTAATCTACAGGCGTGTACTGAAAAAAAAGCGTTTAACATTGAGGCTCGAGTTATTTTATTTCTCCTTTCATCAAATCATTGGGTAAAAAATAATTCAATAATATTGAAAGAAAAGTAAACCAATAAAAAAGTATTATTTGTTTCATATATAGGACGGATAGGTCGAATATTTAACTAAGGTTCTATAGGCTCAATTTTATAGGAAAGTTGATAGATAAAATTAACATTAAGATAGGAAAACGATCATTTATAGATTAAATGAGATTATATTTTTTAATTCACTCTTAAATATTTTGTATTTTGCAATATTTTATTATTGGTGTTCGAAATTATCATTTTTTTAAATATAATTGATTGTAATAAATTTTATGTTGATTAGTTCGAATAAATTTTTAATGATCCAAAAATAATTATTTTGATAAAAAAAATACTCTTCCTCGAATAGAAATTCCTGGCTACGTGTCCGTATATTTATTTAAATACATGAGCTTTAAATCTTTTTACAGATCGTTACGGCAGCAAATCAGAAAAAGATATTTGTATCTGAGTTAAAATTTAAGTTTTTAAAAAAATGACCAGGTTAAAATCCAAAAAATATTGACTAGCTATAAATCCCCACTTACAAGCAAAAAAACTATGTATGGTGATCTAAAAAATGCAACCATAGATTTTAAAAAATGTATAGTACCATTTTTATCGAAAAATAATTATATTTTTTTTGCTAAACCATGAATTCCAGCTAATTAGAAGCTAATCAAAAAAATGACATCATAACATCTCAAGTGGATCTAGAAAATGCAAACATAGGTTAAATGAACAAGTAAATTATCATAAAGTCGATGAATTTTACGAATTCTCGTTAGCAATTAAAAAATGCAATATTTAGAATCTAAATGTATAAAATTAAAAATAATATATTTAGCATTATTTATAATATAATTCTGTGTATGCCATATTATAAATTACTCATTTAATAATATTATTAATATATTTAAAATGATTATAAATAATTTTCTTGATGTTTGAGAATTTCCACAAAAGTTTGCATTACAATAATCAGCAGAATATTCACCTATATGAATTATTAACAAAAATATAACAGGTTATTATTAATAACCTGTCGAGTCATCATATTATTTTTTTAAATTTGAGAGCCACTAAAGTACCAATAATGGCCATAAATATCAACACGATGATTAGAAAAAAGCAGAGTTTCTTCTTAAACTTTTTCTATTATATAAAAAGTTAATTTATTATTTGCAATAATAAAATAATTATAAATTTATGCCTCTCATGTTGAAACCTCAAAGTGTTATTTATTTTATCCCACATTGCAAAAATAATATTTCTAACTTTGGTTTGACCGGTCAAAAATTTGGAAGCCTGTTTTGTATAAAACAAATGAACCTGAAACGGAACTTTATCGGAACATATTAGAACTTTCCTGAAAAAATATTTCTATAAAACGTGAGTTATATTTTCATTTTAATATATTATCAACGAACACCCAACAACTAATAATCATGTTTCTGTTGGTTGATTATATGTATAATAAAATTTTTGACCAGGCCGGTACTAATTTATAAAATTTTAAAAGATCCTTTGCCTAAAATCGTTTCGATATCTGCATTGATTTTTACTGATATTATTAAATCACCTATTGGCCAACTCCAATAAGGCTTAGCTAAAACGTTTGCCTGAAAAAAATGGCATAAATCTTTAAATTGAGTCTCAACTTGAAGATTGAGATGATTTTTTTGAATAACTTGATTAAGCTGTTTTTGAAGCTAGCACTACTTTTTTTGAAAATTAAAATTAATTTGAGATATTATTTTTCTAAAAATCCTTTTAAATCTATTAATAAAATGCCAGGAGCCTTTTAAAAATTTTTCTCGGAGGAATATTTGGACTAATTTTTGAAAAAGATTTGCTATTTACAATCGGTGTCCGAAGCAAAGGCATTTTTACGTTCCAGTTCCGTTCCTGTCAAAAATATGTTCGTAAAAAATGTCTAATTTTTTTTATATATTTTATTTATTTTTACATTATGTAGTATTAATTAATACATTTGCTTTAACATTATCATTTATATTTGTGCGGTGATGTCAATATAAATTTGAGTGTCGAAAAACACCTCTAAATACTAATATGATAACAATATTATACATTGAAATTTTATAAAAATTTATTATACAATAATAATTTATTCAAAAGTTTAAAATAATATAAAATATGATTTTTTAAAATCTTAATTCTTAAAATCACATAATAATACTAGATAATGTATTAATATTGTTATGTGAAAGTGGAATTATGAAAATAAAAAACGAATATTTATGAATGAACCATTATAAATATAATTATGTAAAAAATAAAATATTAATTTTATTCGGACCGCTCTCGAGATCATCGTACCCGTTTCTTTCAAGTTCCATAATTATCCTGAGGTTCCGTAGTGTTGTTAAATAGCTCGTTTTGAACCGATTTTTAAAAATGGCTAACTCAATATTTCATACAGAAAAATATTAAGCAAGCCTGAAGATTTTGCTCATAGAAGTAACAAAGGTCTAGACATATATTATAGAAATCTCGAGGCTTATACTCTAAAATATTGAGTTAACCGTTTTTAAAAATCGGCTCAAAACGAGCCGTTTAACAACACTAACGGGAACCTCAGAAAAATTATGGAACTTGAAAGAAACGGGTACGATGATCTCGAGAGCGGTCCGAATAAGTCCCGGAACGTTCTGTTATATGTCCCTGTTTAATAATGTAATTTTTATTATCTTAACCCATTAAAGATTACTATTTGTGGTACTTTGATTTTGAACTAAAATGATACCATTTATGATTTTATTTAAAAAAATTTAATACAAGTAAGATCATAAACTTATAGATTTTAGAAAGAAAGAAATGTTAAAGATATATTGAACCTTCCACTTTTGAGTGACCAAGAAAAAGTGATTTTTTAGACAAACTAAGGCTTATTATAGTCTAAAGGCTTTGTTGGGTAAAAAATGTTTAATGGACTTATGTTAGTGTTGAAATGCTTCACAATGATAACTTAGATTTGTGAACGCATACCTAAATATTTATTTTATTTAGCCAAAACAGAGATATGGATTAGAGCTAGGTATTTAATATTTTAAAAACTGAATTTAACCAAATTAAGAAGAAAAAAATCAACTAATCAAATTAAATTCTGTTAAAAATAGATATAGGTCTTTTGCAGTAAAGTTTTAGAGGTGTGGCTATGCAAATATACTCGTAACTCTAAAGCATTTTCGTTGTTATAATATTATCGCATAGATGCATTATCAATGCGTTTGTGGACATGTATTCTGGAATTATCTTTTCAGATAAATGATTCGCGGCTAATGAGTTTGCGAAAATGACATGTAACCATTAAAAAACATTGTAAATTCGTGTTATATTTTTATGTATTTTCAATAAACATATTTTTCAATACAAATTTTATTGGCCAATATTATGGATTTATAAACATCATTATAAATATTATGGGTCAGTACATGTCATAAATCAAATTAAGAAAAAATTGGAGTCCTTCAATCGAATCATCCCGACATAGATAACCTATATTTTCAGCAATCATCAATCTCTCTTTTGCGATAAAAACGGGTATTGAATAAATTTGAGCCATTTTTTCAGGGGTTATTGACAAATTTTTTGACTCAATATTTTTGTCATTTTCTATAGCAAATTTTACCATAGCTTGATAAATTTGACATATAACGGGATAAGAATTAGATTCACGATATAATCCCAATATGTCATTATTATAATTAATATCTTTATTATCAATGCGTAACAGTATATCCAAACATAAAACAGAGAGCCCACTATCAAAAGATTTGTATACTAAACGAAAATTATCTAATCCTGATTTCATAATATGTAGAGCATCTAAATTTTTTACATTTAAGTCGAATGAAATATTATTTATTTGTAGACATGCTGTAAGCATATCTTCAAGGGAAATTAAATCCAATCCCTTAGCTCTATTAACGCGACAAAATGCTTCTGGTAAAGTCATGAAACCGTTAAATAACGAAGTGTTTTCTCGGAAACTCTGTTTATCATCTAGATTTTGTACGTAATCGATTTCAAGAGTTGGCAATATAATTTGTATAATTTCAATAGCGAGTTTTTTGTGAAAATTTGAAATATTTGTAGATGAATTGGGAATAACTATTTTTATATTTTTAATTTCTTCAATCTCTAGCCCAAGACTTAACAAATGTGATTTAAAAACAGTAATTTCATCTTCACTTAAATTTCCCGTTTTTTCGATTAACTGATTAGCTATTGACCGACAAAGATGAACCGTATCAATGGCATGGTCTTTTAATGAGCTCAAATCAGAAAAAGATTGAGATATATTATCGTATATATGTTTTTCGGTTTGTGAGAATCTATTTTCTATACTCGTTATACCACTCGATTTAAATTTCGTGTTTTTATTACATGTTATTAGCAAATGTTGATTGGTAATAGATGATAATAGAAGCCAACATTTATCTGATAATTGTTTTTGAAGCTGCCTTAAAAATTCCACCTGCCCCGACAAACCAAAATGCAGCTTTATCAATGAATTCGAATAACAATGTATTACTATGCTTGAGGTTCCCATATTTAAATCTTCTTCGGCTAGAATTATTCGAGATAATGGTATTATCAAATCATGATTGGCCCTTATATCATTAGAATTTTGGTGTGATCCCAAGCATTCCTTCAAATTAAATGGTGGTTTCCAAATTATGTGATAATTTGTAAGAAATATAGTCCCTTCAGGTAAATTTTGAGGATTACAACCTGTAATTTCTAATTTGACACCTGCTCTGTGCATAAAAATTTGTTCATTTCCATGAAAATCGAGTATAAAATTTTGCCATATATAATCACTTGTATCCATTTGCGACCTTTAAAAATTAAAATAAATATGTTTTAACAAAGTTTTTAATTTGACAATTTTTATTTGTATATAAAAATTTTCAAAACATTTAAAAAAAATACATATAAAAGTAAATTTATAACCTAAAAAATAAATATATATATTATGTAAGAAGAAACATTTAAAAAATATATATTGTATTAAAAAAATATTTCTAATGAGCATGCACCCATGTAATGAGATTACATTAGATCGACATATTTCTAATCCGATATTTTGTCGGATATAAGCTATCTCAGTTTTGAGGAAAATTTTCTTACCAGGTATTTTTAGAAATGTCAGCAAGGCGTTTCCAAAATTACATAGAGTGGTGCTAACGAGATAAAATTATGATTGATAGAAAGGTATATTTTAATATTTTATTAGATTCCGCGGTTTTTGTGCAATGGTTGTCATTATTAGATGTAGAGAATATGTTGATATTCGAATAATCCCATGCGAGGGGTAGACCCAGTTGACAAGGGGTGAAGGATATTCTATCAGGGCATCTATTGTCCCCTAGGTTCCTCCTTGTTGGCTCTAAAATTGAGGGTATGTTTCCTTTGTTAAGGCTGGCGAATTTTATTTTTAAAGATTTTGTGTCTAATTGGTCGTCATTTAAAATATTTACAATGAGGTGGTATCCGTTAGATGCAACATGCATGTAAAAAAGCGTGCATTGAATAGTAACTGTGGGGCAACTAGTTCGGAGTCCTATACCTATCCGTAATCCTTCCGGGGATATATATAGGCCTAAGCTTTCACTATGTGTGATCTCCAGCCATTAATATCCCTTTCAGTTTTTAAGAATTCAAGGCTGTTCATTATCAAGGTTTGCTCCTTCGATAGTATATATTCAATGAAACGGGCTATTAATGGCAAGTTCCAGTCAGGGAGAGGAAGATTGGGAAGTGAATTTAGGTTCCAAATCAAAGCATTGTCTAAATGAGTCTGTGTTAGAACATGCTTTTATGAAATAAAACCTGAAAGAGAGAGAGATAAGGTGAAACCAACACCGATACCATCAAATTTACTGGGTAAGGTGGCCTGTAGCCAAGGTGAGGAGGAAAAAACAGGTTCAAGATTTCTTCCAAAACCAGGGTTGGGCAAATTTTCAGAAAATTGTATTCGGATACAGATACAGATACTTTATAAAATTTTGTATTTAAGATACAAGATACTTTAGAAAAATTTCAATAAGATATAAGATACTTGTATTTTTTTTAAAAAAAAGTATCTAAGATACAAGATACTTTTTTAAAAAACTTTAAATAGTCAAAATAAAAATGTATAAAGCTTTATTTTCTTATCTATAATATAAATTTATAAAAAAATATTTAAAATAATATGTAGAAAATAACAAATTTATTATAAAAGATAATGCGATATTCCATTTAGTAATTATATAATTAGTAAATAATAATAAATTAGCATCAATCAGCATTATTTTTGAATATTATTAATTTTTTTTCGTTCAATCTTTGACGATTTGGTCTATTAACCATATTAGCAAAGCTAAATAATCTTTCAACGGGGGCTGAGGAGGGTAATATTGTGTTATATTTAATAAATATTTCTTTTATATATTTATAACTATTTAACATATTTATACTCCGCCTGTCATCTCATATAATTTAGGACCTCTATTTCAATATCATTTATTGAATTATTAGAATTGGATGTGGTACTTTTAAAGCAAAAGTAATCATCATCTTCATCAATTGAAGATTTTGTTGAAGTATTAATTTCAATATTATTTTTAAAAACAATTGAAACTTCATGTAATGACAAATTCTGAAGGTATTTTTTTTCTTTTTCACCATCAATCCAACGATTTTTAAAATAGGGATGAGAAATAGTTGCCAAAAATGCACTCTTAAAATTGTTATCAAAATCATATATATTTTTAAATCTTTTATTTAAATAATTTTCTATGGCAACAGCTAATGGTTTGCAAAATTGTAGATTGGTTTGAATTAAATTTGTAATTTTTTTAACGACATTTAAAATTGGAGCTGATTCTCCATAATAGCAGTTGATTTCACTCTGTATTTTGTCAATCGCTATAGCCAATGGGGCCATTATATTGCAATATTCTTCTAAATATTGAATTTCAATATCTCTTAATTTAGGAAATTCTAATTTTTGACATAATTTAGGAAGTTCGCCTTTAAATTTTAATAAACTATGAAGACTATCATACTAACTATTCCATCTAGTGCAACAAGGTGTAACTAATTGTTTTCCTAAAACTGCTTTGATAAGTTCTGCAGTTTTAGACCTATTATTTGCATTCCATAGCTTAGTACATTTAGCTATTGCAGGATGATGAATTTTAGAAATGTTAGGATAATAGCTCTCTCGACATCTGTTGTGGCAATTAGATTTATCGTATGGCACAAACAACGAATGTGTTGAGGCAATGTTATTGAGGCTTCTTTAGACCCTTAAATAAACAAATAAATAATTTTATTTGAATAAATTTTTTTACTTAATTTACAATATCATAATAAATTTTAAAGAAGTATTAAATAATACTTTCAATGATTTCGAATTCTATACATTCATCATCATTGATGTCAAAGTCATTCTCTACAGCTTCCATAGAATATCCAAACTCCTTGAAAGCTTTCTTAAAGTTAGAGACGTTATCTGTAACAGTTGCTATAACTTTTTCGTCAATACCAAAGTCACGATGAATTTCATTATTATGATCATCTTGAAGTACTTCAAAAAATTTGATATTAAGTATGCTTAGTTTAAATTTATTGTTATAATTTTCGGTTGAAGAATCATCTGAAAACGAAGATAAACATATTATTCTATTTTCTTCTTCCATAATTTTAAAATAGACAGATATAAAACGATTCAAATATGGTAGTTCTATTGTTAGCAAATTGCTATATGACGACCAACGTCATATATCAAAAATTATCTTAAAATATCTAAATTTTAATTAAATTTTTCATTTAAATCTTAAAACAATATCATTTTAAATTTTAATACTATTTAAATTAACCACTTTTTGAATACAAAGTTGGTTAAGATACAAATACTTTTAAATAATATGTATCTTAGATACTGGATACAAGATACTTTCCAAAATTTTAAAAAAGAGTATCTTAGATACAAATATCCGCGATACTGCCCAACCCTGTCCAAAACAATAAGTTTTCTTCAAGATCAGCATATTACACAGTAATAAATTTTTTAAAAATAATAAATTTGTTATAATTTATCTCTTTGCTTGAATACAGTTATGATTTCATTTCTTCTAGAGGTATAATGGGCAATTAAATTCTAATATTTTAAAATTGGCCAATTAATTTTAAAAAAGTTCGATTTATTTAATATTAAAATTAACATAAAGAAATATTATAAAAAGTATTATTTTGATCATATCTCTTTGCTTGAATACAGTTATGATTTCATTTCTTCTAGAGGTATAATGGGCAATTAAATTCTAATATTTTAAAATTGGCCAATTAATTTTAAAAAAGTTCGATTTATTTAATATTAAAATTAACATAAAGAAATATTATAAAAAGTATTATTTTGATCATATTTCTTTCAGAGACCTACGGACCCGAAACAAAAACAGGCCGGGGCTGTATAACTCTTTTTAACAGCCTAAATAAAATTTCTAATTCGGGGGAGCGGAAAAAATATTTTCTTCTATAAATCCGGGGTGGGTAAAACCCGATTCGAATCGTATATTTAAAAACATGATAATTATCATATATGATAAAAAAATTAAAAATTGTATCAAATAATAATATATCACATTTATTCACTTCCAGTATTTTCATTAATTTATCTCTCGTTAGAAAATACTTAACTAGTTTATAAATGAAAAGTAAAATGGATAATTACATGACAAATCGACCAGTGATTCGAACGACCATTTTACAAACGGATGAAATTTAGTATAAATGTTAAATAGATTGCATATTTTTTATAAATTCAAATTTAATGATCTAGCTCATATATATCCCGAGTTATTGATAGCCTTTTCCTCTTTTATAAAACAAAAAAATATTATTTTGAAAGTGCTCCATTTAAAACGATGAAACTCATGAAATATGTTTATTGGCAATATATTATTTACATATTTAAAAAAATAATAATCGGAAATAAAGAATTTTTTATTTAGTTTTTTATAATTTTAGGAATAAAAAAATTGAAAAAATGTAACTCATCAAATATGTTTATTGAATATTCAAGTAAAAATATTAACAGAAAATTAAGAATTTAAATTTATATATAATTTTAGGAATTAACTATCGTTAAAAATATTTATATAAAAAACGTATTTTTAAAAAATTTCTAGTGTATATAATAATTTTATAGAAATATTAATAGTTACTTATAATATAAAATGCATATTTTTATTTATAAAATACATTCATTATAATTATCTTTAAAAATAGCGCTCTCCATATTGATTTATTTATTCCTACAATTATAAAAAACTAAATAAAATTTAAATTCTTATTTCTCCATTTAATTTTATTTTAATATTTAAATGTATTGATAATAGACATATTTGATAAGTTTCATAGTTTCAAACATACTTTATAATTGATTTTTTTTTTATTCCTAAAATTATAAAAACCTAAATAAAATTTAAATTCTCATCTCCATTAATATTTAAGTATATTGGTTATAAACATATTTAGTGAATTTCATCGTTTCATATTAGGCCCTTCTCAAAATAATTTTTTTTGATTTTCCAGAAATTCGACACTAAAGATATTTTTTAAATAATTTTTGTATTTTTGACTGGAGAATTTTGAGGGCTACAAAATGATATATAATTTGTTACTTTCAACCAAAATATTTTGAGTTATTTGATATTCGTTAAAAGAGGAAAAGGATCTCATCGAACTCTAAAGGTCCATAACTCGAGATATTTGAGCGAAAGCATTAAAATTTTGATTTGTATAAAATATACAATATTTAACCGTCATGCCAATATAAACTTTAAAAATTGTCCGAAAATCACGTTATTTTGATCAATTTGTCATAAAATTACCATATCACTTTTGGAGGCCGATCCGATATCATAACTGATTTTATATTCTGTAAACTTTTAATTTTCAATGCATACATCTAGTAGTGCAAAATCGTTACATTTGAGTCGATTTTTAAAAACGGCTAACTATTTTATCCAGAAAAATATTACGCAAGCAAAAAGATTTTGCTCAAGATGGCACAAAGGTTTGGTCATTTATTAGCGAAACCTCGAGGTTTCAACATTGCCTAAAATATTTAGTTAACCGTTTTTAAAAATTGGCTTAAGAAGCGATTTCGCATCACCACTAAATACATCCATATCATATTCTTTTTAATAGTACAACATCTATAATTAACTATACCATAACATAAGTCATTTAAATGTATTATAATGATCCGTTAATATATATTCATGAATCTAAAAGTATATAAAAATATTTTTATTGATATATATAATAATATTAAACTAATTACATAATACAAAATATTATCAAATTTGAAATAAATTTTTAAAAAATTAGGAAGCCATTTTATCGTATCGAAAAATTTTATAATATTGGCTGATATATCCGATAAAAAATATCGGTAAATACTTAACAATTAGTTTTTAAATTATTTCCGGGCTGAATTTTTTTCATAAAAATTAGACAGGGTCATGCAATCCGTATCTATGCAGGTCTATGATTAAAATATGATATTAAAAAAATTAAAAAAAATTTTCAAAAAACCATAAAATGTTGGAAAGTTAATAATTCGTTCCCCTATTCTTTATATTTCCCCAAAATATAAATAGCAAGTCTGTTCGAATCATTTCAAAATTTTTATATGCCTATGGTACACCAATGCTGTTAAAGTAGTTATTAAAAGTAGCGGGTTATCACCGCTATATTTTTTTAGTAACAGTAGGTAGCAACGCTAATTTTTAAGAAAATAGTTAAATCATAATGCCGCTACTTTTTTTGAGCATAAGTAGCCAAAATGCGCTACATATTTATAATTAATATTTTAAAATGATAAATATTATTTATTTTTTATAATTTTAATGAATAAAGAGTATATTTAAAAAATTTTAATTTGTGCAAATCCTTAATTACTTTTGCATTCATTTATTTATTTAAAATAAAAAAATTAGAGGAATACAAATTGGTAAATTGGTTGAGGGGGTATGTAGTTTATCATCGTCAATCTCAAAATTAAAAAACAAAGCACCCAATAAATTGAGAACATCTGATGTTTTGAGTTTTTTAATGACATTTCCGAAGAGTTTAATCATAATCATAATCATGATATAATTATACATTTATATAACTAAATTTTTAAGATGATCAATATCAGATCTAACTGTATTTAATGATTTTCCCTTTTTAAACCCCTTTTTATAAAATATAATACCTCTATATAGTACTCCCTTTAGGAGACTATTTAGTTTCGCGAAGTATGTTTTTGTATATATTTAATATTTTATAAAATCTTTTTCTTTATTTACGATTAAAAAAATATATATTATTAGGATTGCAATTTTTTATTTATCAGCTTTTAAGAAAAAAAATTTAGCCTTAATTTTTTAAAGTAGCTATTTGCGATGCTACATTTAAAAAATAGTAGCTAGAGCGCGTTACTTTTATTAGATTTTTAAGTAATTGTAGCTATAGTACGCTACTTTTATGGTAAAGTTAACAACATTGTGGTACCCTAAGCATAAAGAGGTAAAATGACCTTATATATGTTCATTTAATAAATTTATATGAACATGCAGTAAGGTTATGTGAATTGTTTTTCCGAACCAGATGGCATACTTCTAGTGCAATGCAGTCAACAACGAAGAAGATATAGAGAACAATTTAATAGGTAATTTTAATCTTCTTGATATAGCAGGATAGAGTGAAATAAATTGCTGAAAAAAAGGGGCTAGTCGGAAAAATTCCTTTAGCCTTATTTTTTTCAATGATGATCTCTATTCTATTATAGTGACCAATACATTTATGCAAATCAAATAAAAAGAATTGCTGATTATATTATTCCAATACTAGAAGATATATTCTATAGGAATATTATGGAGGTATTCAGTCTTTCACAGGCGCTAATGTTCTGGTTCAATAATATATCCATTCCTCTTATTCGATAAACATTGTCTTACAAAATTTAGAACATAAATAGATTAACTATAGTTTCGATCTTCTGTTGCCCTATAAAGCCAAAGAAGATTTGCGACCTGGAAAACCCAGTAGACTTTTCATAAATTCTTATTTTGCATTATATTCGCGTAATAATTTGATGATTAAATAGATTATTAGTAAAAAATAAATGATGTTCATAAAATTTAGCAATTGAAATATTACATAATTTATTTGATGATTTTGCTATGCATATGGTTAAGTACCATATATTAGATAATTTCATAAATATTTGGTCATCTACAATTTTATATTTTAAAAATTTTAGTAATAATAATATTTTTAAATATAAAATTTGATTCAATTTATTATAAAAAATCAAAAAAAAATAAAATAAAATATAAAAACGCTTTAATTATGTCCATATTTTATTTATTTTTCATAAATAATTGTCCATTTTAATTTAATATTTACATCCTCATTCGCTTTTATATCAACTTTTATTCATTGGCCATTGTATTTATGAGATCACACATTAGTGTAATAGAATTTTTTATATCTTCTTTTTCATTCTAGTATTAGGGCATATTTTAAATTGTCTTTCCATATTATACCATAAATTTTTAGGTGGATTTAAATAAGAGGTCATTGCTGGGCATCCAAAATTTTAATTCTGTCAGATAATTATTTCAGTTGATTTGCAGTATTACATGGTGCCCCATTTCGTATCCCCATATCGTTGTGCTATTTGGATTTAAGAGTTGGTTTTAAATAATCATAATAAAAGGTTCAATCTTATCTGATTATACTATCAACATTACCATAATTCATTTCGATACGGAATTCATCTAAAAGGAGAACGGTATTCTATAGTTCAAGGTCCAATAACCGTATTTAATTTTTCCTTGGTATGTTGTTGCAAATCAGTTTTCCTATGATAGATTTCCATTTATAAATAAAGCTTGCATGACATTTTTCAAGTATGATTTTTTTTAAAGATAGAATCTTCTGAATGAATATGCTTTATAGGATCTTCCTTTAGAATTGTTAGTTAACAAGGATTGGGCTTTAGAAGACTTAACAATTATTTCTTGAATAGTTATGCAACTAAATTTAAGTTCAAGAAAGATTTTTTATTTGGAATCTTATAAAATAAAAACCTTTTAAGTCATTAAGTTGATATATTCAGAATTTCTTAATAGGACTAAGTTATAAAAATCTAAAAATTAAAATTTTTTATATACTGGAAATAAGAGTCACGATTAATGGGCTAAGTCCAATAATAATGAAAATAGATTTTTTCCAACTTTGACCTCAATTCCAAAAATATAAATGTTAGGAGTCCAGAATTTTATCTGAGTGTTAGTTATATTAAATTTACTTTGCATACCAAATTTAAAATATGGGTGAGTCGAAATATCATATTTTTATATAAAAATCTGTAATTACCCCTCAAATATGTAAATATTTTAAATATTCATCAAAAATCGATATTAATATTTAAATGTAAAAAAAAGTAATAACAAACGTTGTATTTAATGGCGCTCGACAATTGAGTATTAGCGGTTTCAACGTTTATAACAACATTATCTAAATGTGACTCTATGCTGTCAATAGTATCGCCTTGCTCTTTAACCAAGAATCCCAAATCCCTGAATATTTGATTGACGTCTAAGATCTGACTTTCGAGTTCCCTTACTTGAGAATAAGTGTCCAAAGTTTCTTCGTATCTTTTGTTAAGTATGTCTTCCCTTTTAAGCCTTTCCTCGGTAACTATTTGTTTATAAATATGAGGTTGTTTCGCTAATAGAGGGGTGTGTTCATCTATTTTTATAAAAAGTCCATTAATATTTATTAGCTATCTTCGATCTTTATAACATAAAATGGTAGGTAAGCAAACTCATTTACTGAATACATTACAATTGGTCAAAAAAATAAAACATATTAAATATAGTACCCACCTGTATAATTTGACTTTTCATCTATTAAATTGTAATAATTTTGCTGAAATACTCTAGACTAGAAATGAATCATTTATACGCCTATTTGTAATTAAAATACCTGAAGATTACTATATACTTTCAATATTTCGTGAAATTCATTTGTGATTTTGCTTAATTTTAACTTTTCAATCTAAAATATATGAACATATATTATATAGAAAAATATTCTATTTACTTTGTTAAGTTCGGAATTATGCTGGGTCAATAGATTTAGAAGATCAGTATTAAACTTAACAATGGCATTAATTTCATTTTGAATAGGAATGCTAAATAAATATAATATTTAAAAAAATAAAAAGTTATGCAATTTTAATAAATCACATTCAGACTTAATGCTGGTCAACCCACAATTGTATGAATTGCATCCTATTAATCAACGTAAACGGAAAAAATTAGAGATCCCGGTCTATCCGAAAGTCAGGCCCACGAGTCGGGTAAAATGGGCAATTCGTATATATAAAATAAACACATAAAAAATCTGGCCAGGCCTCGTAATCTCTATGGGCCAACCCCGGCATTTAAATCTTGATATATTTTTTTGAATTTCAAAAATATTTCTATGAAAATAAATTACAATATGCATATATCTTTATATTTTAAGAGCTGTCTAACTAAAATACTAAATCTATATATGAATTATAAATTCACAAAAAATTAAACAAGTTATTTATTATATGATCCATTTATAAATACAAAATACAACAAAATCAAACACAATTGATTTATAAAACGGTTGTTACAGAAATAGATAGTCAGCGTTAATTAATATTAGAAAAAATATGATATAGATAAAATGTGCTGGCAGGTTAAACAGGGCCTGGACGGGATGGACAAATATTTAAACAACCCGGAAGGGGGGGGGACAACTTGTGCAAAATCTTAAAGGGCAGGCTTTGTAAATCTCTAGAAGACATGAACTTAATTGCATCAAAAGCCAAGGTCGGCAGCAATGCCGCTTCAATAAATAAGTTCGTATTTTTACATACATTGCAACCTGCTTACCTTAGCAGACACCAAAAAAATTAATAAATGCAATGTCAATGTTTATTAATGTAAAGTTAGCCCCTATCATCTTCATTTTTTTAAAGTCCAGCATATAAAATTAAATCACAAATGTTTGATTCTAAGGAATTCTAATTTTTTATTCAGAAAATACAATAATTTTTTAATATAGTTGTTCCTTATAAGGGACTGACTTCTAAATATGGTTTTATTTTATTTTTCTTTTATTTATTTTTTATTGGTAATATAATTCGTTTTTAAAAATTAACAATCTTGATTACTAGCAGAAACCTGCAGATCCAGCTCGACCCTATGCCCGGATATAGGGGATAGTCCTACTTTAATTTTTTAAATACACCTGGGTCGGTCCTAAAAATAATTTATTAAACCCGAGCAGGGTGTTAAAAATATTTTTCTTAAAAATACCTGGGCCATGCCGCATATTTTAAAACCCAATATTTTAAATAGCCATTATTAGGTTTAAATTTAATATTTAAAAAGGGCCGGTCCGAAATTTTTTTATTAAAATAAATGCGGACTGGGCCGTGAAAATGGTACTTCTGTATGTCTCTGATTATTAGTTATGTGCCAATTGTTTAGGTCCGAAAAATGAAACATTTTAGAACTCTCACTCTCTCTCCTCCTTTTTCTATTATAGGTATTTTTTAAGATTATATTTTTTGTGATATTCAAATTAATATTTTTATGTAAATTATAGACTTATAACGATATTACATGTGATGTTTGTTAATTTCATATTATAGCCTATATAAATGAGGATATTTCGATGTTAATTTTAGAAGAAAGTTTTATTTTTTTTTATGATTTGAGATTTTGTTTTTGTACTCGCCACTTTTAAATTTTTGGAAAGGAATTTTTACTTTTTAATTTCTACTTCAATTTTTAATTATTATATAATTATGATTATGTTATTAAACAGTGTTATGGAGATTTAATTCAAAACATTTCCATATTTTTTAATTTGTTTGTAAATAAAAGTATTATAATGTAAATTGATAAGAATAATAAATATTTTATTTAAACAATTTTTTGCAAGTCGAATAATTTAATTTCAAATATATTAAAAAATATGGAAATGTTTTCCATCAAATCTGGTCAACTTAACTCTATAAATGTATATGGGAGCATGTGTATAATAATGTAAGATAAAAGGATTAGTAAATTATGATTTATATATTTTTACATTTAAGACAACAAACCTTTAAATTTTATATAGTTTCTTCTTTACAAGGGTTAGTCCAATCTCTATTTTTTAACCTTTATCTATTTATTTTTATATAATATGAAAATGAATATTAAATATTATCCACCTCCTGATTCTTAAAACTTGTATTTTACAATTTTTTTCTTTGGTAAAATATTAATAAAAAAGTATATGTATCAAAAATTTTATAACAAATTTTTTTATAAATATTAAATCAAGTAAAGGAAATAGAGGAAGGAAATTAACATTAATACTTCAGACTAAGGGTTGAGCTTATATTTTATTGATGCCTTAGGGCTGGAATGATGGGAGCTCTGCAGGATTCTAATGTAAATTTTTCAAATCACGCCTCATCCAAACTTAGTTATGTATTTTAGAGTTATGATATTATTGATTAGAATAGTCATAAAAAATACTGCATAAAACTAACTAATATTATGATTCTTTTTAAGATATTAAGCTTTTTTATATATAAAATGACAAAGTATCAGAATATATGAAAATTATATAAATAAAACCCCAAGACCTGGACTCAGTTTGTAAAAAAAATTTAATAAATGCTAGACCTAGAAGTAAATTAAAATTTTATCAATTACTCTGGATAATCAATAAATAAATAACCAAGAGGGAGGAATCCATAGTGGTGGAAGTTTGCCACTTCTTGTAAATATTATTTTAGGCCAATAGAAATGTTTCTCCTAGACCTCCTCCCCTCCCAAACCATCCATTCTTGAAAAATGCATATAATATACACTATATCACTATAAAAAATAATTTGAAAGAAAAATAGGTAAAGGTTAATATTTTTAAAATAACAACAAGAAATAATGGAGCCTTTAAGGTACATAACCATTAGAGAATCCATCCTTTGGAAGTTTGCCAGTTCTTGTAAATATCATTTTAAGCCAATAGAAATGTATCTCTTACATTTTCACCCCCAACCCTTCATTCTTTATAAATTCTTACACTATAAATAATAATTTAAAACAAAAGTAAACGTTAATATAAAATAATAACCATAATTATAATTTTTTTAGAAGAAAAATTTATCAAAAATATTATTTAGTCAAGGGTTTACAATAAATGGTCCTGTAAAACTCCAATAAAATTTATGGGGACTACCTAATGGTGCCTCCATACTATAATGCTGGATATACCTATCCTTAATATTCATTTATTGTTCATATTTTTACATCCACTTGAAACAATAAATGCAAAATTATTCAAAATAATAGATAAAATATATGTAAAAATATTCAAAATTTCAGGCCTAATCATAAAATATTAATAAACAAATCTTGGTCAGGCCCAAAATTATGTTCTTATAAAATTAAAAACTTATTGACCTTTAATAAATTCTTACTTAGATTTTACTATACTTACATTTGATTTGTATTGTTTACCAATAGATTATGGCTAAATTTGGTTAATGAATTTAGATGATAAACTTAATAAATTGTGAAAAGATTTTTAAAATATAATTATAACTTTTATTTTGAATTTTTTGGATATTAAATCCAATTTCATTATACAACTCTTCAAAATATTTAGGTGGATCTAGTACATTACAAAAAAAACTAAAAATTAAATTTTGTTTACTATTTATATGTGTATAGTCCATAACCATGAATTGATAGTCGCGCGATTGTCGCGATTAACAGCTGATCGATTTTAAAATCTGTTTATGAGATTAATTTTTATTTATTAATATTAATTTTTCTTTAATTCAATTCATAAAAATAATCGAAAAAATAATGATTTTAATAAAGAAAATTGATCTCATAAACAGATTTTAAAATTTTAATCGCGTTTCCAATCACGCCAATATGATTTCAAAATAAATTATAAATTATCGTACCTTGAATTCAAAGTGAAGAGGATTCGCGATTTAGCCGCGATATCACAGCGACCGATAAGCTGGATCGATCGCAGCGATTTTCATTCATAGTGCAAAGCAATTTTATTAATTCATAAAATCTTATTAGTCAAATTATTGTTTTTATAAAAAAATCATCATAAATTTTTTATTTTTAAAATATTTTATTTATTTAAAGAATCGAGAAAATGCAATTAACCTTATTTTAGACATACTGACGAGCATTATTAGTTTATTAGGTATACCCAATTTGGGTATACCACACAATATAGTGACAGATAATGGAACTAACTTCACTAACTACCTATTTAAAAAATACCTCATCATCAACAAGCAAAAAATAACAAGAAAATAGATTTGGACATAGCATTGGGAAAATTTTTGTGATTATCAGCAAAATAATGTTTTCAAGAACAATTAGGACAAAATGGGATTTAATTAAACCACTGAGAGAAAAAGAGGTACTAAAAAGAAAAATATCAACGAATAGAGACATAGAAGTAGGAGATAAAATTTGGTACAAGACGTTTGAAGTAAATATTTGGGACAAAGAAATAGTGATACATAAAGATGGGAATTTACAAAATAGATACTCGACACAACACTATTAGAAGACATTTAGATCAAATAAAGAAATGAACAACAAACATAATATCAAATTAAAATTCTTCATCAAATACATAGGTTTTTAGAGAGGGAAGAAGTGGAGAACAAGTTAAAAATCAAATTCAAAGTCAAGATCAAAGCCAAGTTCAAGATTAAGATCGAAATTATAATTTACGACCTATAAAATTTTTAGTTGTAAATAAATAAATAAAATTTTTTGATATAAAATATAAAATTTTTGAAAGCGACAATATATAATAAATCTGATCAACGAAGTGACGTTTAATGGAAATTTGGAATGATCAAAAACAAACAGCAAACTATCAACAAATGGTTATCCAACTGACAAACAAACTCACGTATTACTAGCAAATGACTACTCAAGCAACAGACAGGATGAACAACTTAGGAGTGACGTCAAGAGAGGGAAAACTTAAAAAAAGAGGGAAATGTTAAATATAAAATTCTTTTATATTTTTATATTAAGGTCATTTTCTTTTAACTTACACTTATTTCTTACTTTAAAATAATTAAGTTTTGTAAAAACGTTTTAAAGGTTATTTTTTATTTTCTTACTTAAATATAATTTAATTTTTGTTAATAATTTGTTTAAAAATTCATATCTTACTTGAAAATAATTAAATGTTGTAAAAAATGTTATTTTGTACATATATAAATTCATTTTATTATATTAGGAATATCATAGATTTCTATTATGTAAATAATAGTGTTGTTAAAGTTACTTTTGAAACATAACTAGTTACAGTTACTAGTAGTTACATTTTTTACAAATGTAACTAGTTATTAGTTATTTTTCAAAAGTAACTAGTTACATTATAAGTTACTTTATACATCATTCATATAACGCATTTATTTACTGAACGAATTTATTTAATATAAAAAAATTATGATATACAAATTATAATCATTTGTTTAAAAAAAATATACAATTTATTTATATAAAAAAATATGTAAACCGAAAAAAATATCGAATAATAGAATATTTATATTTACATCGAGTAAAAATATCCTATATATTTGCATTGAAAAAAAACATATTTATTTTTCATAAAAATTTGAGTTTAATAAATGTTTATTTGCTTTTAACAACAATTGGATTTCAAAATTTTTATCTAGGGGACACGCTCGTTTCTCTCCAAAGTTGAGCTTCCCTAGACTGAATAAACGCTCTACAGGAGCACTTGATGTAATAACAACTATATTTAATAAAGAGTATTTTTAAATTTGGAAAATCGTCATATGAAGATAATGTGCTGTTATTGGGTTTAATAAAATTTTAAATAAATTCATCATTATCAAAAATATTTTGACGCTTTAAATCAAAAAATCCAAATACATTTAATGATGTTTGTCGAGAACATGAGCCATTTGTGTTAGATTCACCTCGAGGTATTAAAGTATTTATTAAATTTAAAATTTAATTTGAAGAATAGCAGCAATTATGTTATCGTTATCATAAAGATCATGAATTAATTTATAAATAATTATTTAATTTAAGTTACCTTTTTTTAATACTAGCTAATATAGCATCTTTTAAAGGTGGACAATATTTTAATTCTTGAACACTTCCAGACAGATAAGTATCTGTGTTATTGTTTGGGTATAATAACCTAATACATATATTTTTCACCTTCTAGTATATCAATACCTTTAGCTACTGGTTGCATAATCTAATTATTGTAAATTATTTATAAGACATTAATTTAAATTCACACTGCAATATTCTTTAATAAAATCACAATCTTGTGATGTAAATCTACACAATTCTAATTCATCACATAATAGATCGAAATCCAAAGGCATTTGATTTATAAGTGATAATATTTTAGATAAAGATATATAAAAAGAACCCCATCTTGTTACAATGGGATATGGCAGCTGAGAATATAATCTCTTTTTAATTTGCTTAGCTGATGGACCAGATTTGTTTTGTGTATTCCACAAACGTTGACATTTAGATATAGCAACCTTATCACTTTCCTATAATCCTCATTGTTTAAAAGTATTTTATTGGCATCTTGTGTTGCCACTAAGTTTAATGTGTGACAGGAACATCTTCGATGCTTGGGTAGGTAGTCGAAGTCATTTATATTATAATTGGTTAGCCCAGAGGAAGACATTATATCTTCTATTGAAATGTATTAAATATCTGAATCATTATCTTCCTTTATTTAGATTTATATATACATATTTTTAAAAGTAACTAGTTACTTTTGACATTTACATTGGTAAATATAATTAGTTCAGTTACTAGTTACAATTTTTAAAAAATAACTAGTTACCGTTATTTTTTAGCAAAAATTTTACTAGTTACCTTAACAACACTAGTAAATAACCAATTAAATGAAATGTATATATGCTCGACAAATTGTAATAAAAAGTAGTTGAGTGTTTTAATAAAATAAAATTTAAAAAATTAAATTAACGTTTGATAATCTTCTTACTTCAGTTGCCTTCCATTTCTATATTATCTTTAATTCTATATTATATATATAGGAAACTTTACATTACACTAAAACATAAAATCAGTTTTATAGACGACATCCACAAATTTAAAATATCCTATAATCATTGAAGAAAAACTCATCCTTTCTCTTAGGTAATAATAAAGTACTTTATTATTTAAATAAATTTTTTATATAGGTATTTAATCACTGGTTGTAGGTATCATACTTTAGCCTATTCTAGTGTTGTTAAACGACTCAGCCGAGTCGGCTTAACTACGACTCAAGTTGAGTTTTTAGTCAAAAAAAGCGATTCAAAGCTCAAGTCGAGTTTTGAGTCGATTAGTCGACTCATTTTTACGACTCGAGTTATGAACTTGAGTCGTGAACTCAAGTCGCGACTCGAGTTATAAACTTAATTCGTGAACTCGAGTCGCGACTCGAGTTTTGAACTTGCGTGAACTCAAGTCGCGACTCGAGCTATGAACTTGAGTCGTGAACTCAATAAATAGTTTATTAAATTTTATGAAACTCAATTGATTATAATTGGGTAATTGTGTAAAACCCAGATCAGTGGCTTAAGTCTAAAAATCGACTAAACTAGCAATGAGCACAAATCACAAGCACAATCAATATATTTTAAGTTATTTTTTCTTGACCTTATTAAGGTATATAAATATATGATTATTAGAGGCATCAATCGATAGCTAATTAGAACTAATTAATAATTAGCAAACCAAGCGCCACCTCTATATGGCAATTACTACGTAGGTTAGGATTATTAACGGCACCTAATATTGATATGATGGATTCGTATCCAATAAGCCTAGTTCTACCTAAATATGGTGTATATAAGTTTGACTTGTGAGGGGGGGTAAAAAATAAATATGGTTACTAGTATAAAAATTTTTACCATCGTATTTCTCTTAATGGGCATGTTTAGATCTTAACATTTTAGTATAATATTAAGAGAAAAATATCTGCTAGATTGCCAAATTAGGGTTTAATTCATGTTCAGGAATTTTAAACTCTATTTAACGGGAATTTTGTTAATATGAACTTAATCGAAATTCCAAAAATTAATATCCTTCGTTTGAAAATAAAGGATTCCTAACATTACCCAGAAACCATTTGAAAAAAAATTATGTATGGAAATTATCTTATTTATTATTGCCTGAACTCTTTACTGATTTAAATATGTAAAATTATAATCTTCAAGAATAGTGGTTAGACATAATCGATTAAAATATATATTATTTTAAAAATAATATCATTTTCATCCATCATATAAAAATGTTTATTAAAAAAAAGGATTTATAATTTAAAAATTTTATTAAAAAATATGGATTTAAAATTTTAATATATATTTTTTTTATTTCATTCAAATAAAAATAATAATAATTTTATACTAAATCTCTGAAATAATAAATTCTTATTTCTTATAATTTGTTAACGCTTAGCTGGCACCTAATTAAGGGAGTGGGGGGAATTTCATACTAATTAATAAAGTATATATCAAAATTTTTTATTTAAGCATTTGCAGTTTACCTTGGCATTTACAGTTTAGTCATACACCTTTTTAAGTAATAAAATAATATGATTTTAAAATATATTAAAGCAAAAAATAATTTTAAAATTTCTTTCATAAAGTAATAATACGCCAACCATGCGGAATTAATATTATTGAAATTTAAAATGTAATTATAATTATTTTTAATATAATTATATTAAAGGATTTTATGAGATAAAAGGAAATATAACTATTAATGTATATTTCTCCCCTAACTCTAAAATTGGTAATAATTGGCCACCTTTAGGGATTATACGAAAAAGTAAAATATTAATTAAAGCTTTAATAAAAAAATGATATTTTAGGTTAATAAATATTTAACTTATTTATAGCACTAACAATTAACATTCCCACTAATTTTATAAATCCCATTTAAAATCGTATTAATTTCTGTTTTATAACTCTGAAATATCGTGAGATTACAAATAAAGTCTTAACGAATAAGTTTTCTATTATATTTTGTTATTTTTCGAAGCTAAAACACATTTTCCTTTGTGTTATTTGGTCGTGATTTGAATATGTTGAATATTTAGAAGAGATTTGTTACACGATAATATTCTTGATGAAGCATTATCTATATAAATACAAGTGTTGTTAAAGTAAATGTAACTAGTTATATTTTTGCTAAAAAATAACTGTAACATTATATTTTTGCTAAAAAATAACTGTAACTAGTTATATTTTAAAAATTGTAACTAGTAACTGTAACTAGTTATATTTTTTGAAATATAACTGCCAAAAGTAACAATTTTTAATATGTTTTGTTTAAATTATATAACTATTTATTAAAATTATAATACTATATCTATATTCTATGTAAAAATATATAATTAAAAATAAAGAAATAAAATAAAATAATGTATTTAAGTTTGGTCGGCGGGGCTTAATGACCCATGTATAGGTATACATTTGGATCGACAAATTTTGATTGATATTCTTTGTGGTAGGTAGAAGCCTTTTTTGGATCACCTGTGATTAAACGTAACCTTTGCCCTATCAATTAATTTCGATTTCAAGTTTTCATTGGCGTAATATTTACCTATTATTTTCAAATTTCTAGTGGCGTATTATTTATCTACCATTCTTATATTTCTAGTCAAATAATAATTTTTCTGAAACTCCTTGTCCAACAGGGAGAAAGAAGTTGCAAGCTTGTCCAACGAGATGGAGTCTCCGCCATCAAGCAGTAACAGCTTTTATGGAGTTAGAAGATTACTGATATATCACAATGGCCTGAAAGAAATATTTCCTCAGAAGCAAGAAAATTATTGGATTCAATGCTTATTTCAATTTTTTTTTCTCATTAGAATGTATTATTTCATTATACAACTATTTTATGTAATACTTTTCAAAAACATGGCATTGACTTGATTAAGAAGTTGAGAATAGGGGAGAGCATTTTATTAGAATTTAAGGAAATTAGGGCTAATGTTGATGAAGAATTTCAATTTTATATGTTATCGTTGAGCCAAACGGAGAGCTATCCGTGTTTAATATTTGTCTCACTCGATTTGCAGCAAGGCAAGCTCATCGTCAAACAAAACTTTAGTATAAGATCAGTAGAAAAGTATTATAAAACAATAATCCAAATAAATGAATGGTTTTTAATTCATCACGCAGCACTTACCAATCTGCAGATATTACTTCCACAAAAGCTTTCCCAATCTTTTTCAGATGGTGATAGAAAAAAAATAATATTTGTTTGATGCCTTTATTAGCTGAATAACTATGTTTAAAAGATTAACTAAGATATAATCCCAAAAAATGCTATGGATGCTTTGTATAATTTCAAACACATTTTAGATTTTATTCCCAATGTATTAAAATGATTATATATATTATATATATTAGCAACTCTTCCCATTAGTAAACTAATGAGAGAACATTCTCTTTTTTAAGAAGAATAACAAAGCCCTGCAGAGATACAATTTGCAGGGCACGGCCTGGATTTTTTTAAAAAAAAATTTTTCGGCCCGGCCCGGGTTTTTTTTTAAAGAAATTATATTTATTTTTGATTTTTATAGCTAATTTCAAATATTTGTTTTTAAAATATATAGCCGAGCCTGGATGATAATTTTTTTTTAAAAAAATCTGGCCCGGCCCGGTGTAACGTTTTAAAAATACTCCATTTTTTTATATACTCCTTTAAGCTTATTTGTGGAGTATTTTTAGATCATATTGTTCGTTTATAATGTATTTACATATCAGAGTATATTTAGATCAATGTAATTTTTATAATGATATTTTTTTGAAAAAGTGCTCATGTCAATCAAGAAACATTATTCTGGAGCTGATGATGCTGAGGCGATTTTTTTGAATTTCCAGTCAAATTTTTTAGGTCGTAAAGGATATTTGCCCCGTTGGCGCCTTTTTTAAACTCCATTTTAAAAAATAAATACAGGTTCATATTCATATATTTTACATTATAAATTTTATTTTATTATAGAAAATAAAAGAAGCTACAAATTTATCATTGATTCAAGAAGCTAAAGATTTATTGATTCAAGAAGCTAAAGATTTAAAAATACAGGTTCATATTAATATATTTTACATTATAAATTTTATTTTATTTTAGAAAAGAAAAGATATATCATTGATTCAAGAAGCTAATCATTGATTCAAGAAGCTAAAGATTTAAAAACAGGTTCATATT